AGCACTTTCTGTTTTATTTCTAATTGATGAGCGAAGAGATTCCTCCTTCAGGGTTCCTCAGTGCCATTTCTCTCCATATTCCCTCCCAGTATCTCCCAGAATGTGTGTGAGTGCGTGAGGCCCTCAGCCCAGGATTCTCACCTACACACAGTAATACAGAGACCGAGCAGAGTGATTGTGGTCAGCACATGCTCTACAGCCAGAACATCTTCATCGTACACGGTTAGAGTGATGAGCACAGCCAGGATGGAGCCAGCAAAGAAGGCCAGGTTTTTAGCCAGGACGCTGAGCAGTGGTGACAGGAAGCAGTTCATGTATTTGGAGGCAGCCTTATAGCCCTTGCTGAGCCTGGACTGTAGTTCATGGTCCAGCTCATTGAAGTGTCGCAGGTAACACCGGCCGTACAGTGACCAGCACCGAGCCCCTAAGCTGCCAGGCTCACGCTTAATGACCTCTGTGTAGCTGAAGAAAGCGTAGAGAATCTGCCAGATCAGGATAATAGGGCAGAGGAGCAAGTTGGTGATTCCAATCCACAGAATCCGTGTGCTGAGCTTCTGTGCCAGCTCCAACCGATTGCCTGCTCTTTTGTACTCTGGCTTCAAACTCCATTCATTCTGGAAGAGAGAGCCAGGGCCCCACAGAAAGATCAGCTCAAAGTTATACTTCAAACCCCTGGTGTAGAAAACCACCTCGCCCAGGAAGGGAACGTGAAAACGGATTGGCAGCAGAGATTTATTAATCATAGCCACAGTGTAGTTTTTGAAACGCAGGATACGATGGTAGATGTCCAATTCACTCAGCTCCCTCTTGTGGATGCAGATTTGATGTTCTTTCTGAATGTGGATGATCCGTGCTTGAACCTCCTGCCAGCTACAGTATGGGAGCTGGGCCTGAAACACAGAACCACAACATGAGCTCACACTGCTACAGTCTAGCTCCAACACTATCCCCAAAAACACCATGTTAGACCAATTCAGTACTCAAGCCCCAACACTCACCCACCAAACCCACACTCTTAAACACCCTTCACCCCAAAACACTCTGCTTGAAGGAAGTATGCATCTCTGTCGAGTTCCAGAGGGTCTTTTGGTGTTATAATTGATGAGTAATCCAAGTTGCATTTATTGCTGTTGCGCAATAAACTCTCATGTTAACGAAGGCAAGTGCTAATTGTGTTTGCATTCATGTGTGGCCTATCCTCTACAATTGGTAAAAACTGAAAGAACTGCGGATGCTGTAAATCAGGAACAAAAACAAAGTTGCTAGAGAAGCTCAGCAGGTCTGGCAACAGAAGGATCTGAGGAAGGGTCACCAGACCCGGAATGTTAACTGTTTTTTTCCTTCAAAGATGCTGCCAGACCCGCTGAGCTTTTCCAGCAACTGTTTTTATTCTCTACAATTAGTAATTAGACAGGCTGCAGACCAAGAGGAGTAGCAAACTACTCTACCCAGCCTTGACCAATTCTGCAAGCTGGCGGGGTGACAAATACCACACAGTGTCATCAGCAGTAACCAGGGCAATATCATAACCTCCAGCAGCACTTTACAAACATCCAAGACAGAATGTACCCACTGATTGACAGCCAGTCACTAACTCACCACTCCCCACCTTCGAAACCCATCCTCTCAGCCCACCACTGATGCTCAATAGCAAGTGTGTACCATAGCGCCTTCCAAACCCTCAATCACTTCCATCCACAAAGACTAGGGCAGCAGATACATGGGAACACCACCACCTCCAAGTCACTCACTATTATGACTTGGAAATATATTGCCATTCCTTTGCTGTCGCTGGGTCAAAATCCTGGAACTCCCTCCTAGGGCACTGTGGGTCAACCTACAATGCTCATGGACTCCAGAGGTTCAAAGTGGGCAGGAAATGCTGGCCACATTTTTAAAATCTATTTGGTCAGTGTAAGCTGCATTAAACCATTTTTACTTTAACCCCAAGGAAAGAGGAGTGAGGAGTTGGGAAGAGTTAAAGTGACCAGTAACATACCATTGGTATCTTCAAAGCATTCTTGTAAAATGCGCAAATCTCCCAGTAACAGCAGATGTTATAGATGAACTTCACCAACCGATGAACCCAAAAGACACCAGCAATCATCAGGATGAAGATGATCAGCACGTTCTGTCGGATCCTAAAAAAGGAGAACCCGTAAAGTGAAAGCTAGCCCCATCACAGTGGCATGGTGCTTTACTGGCACTCTACTCAGCAACCTCAGCCTTCCCCATTTCCCCTACCCCCACCTTCCCCATCCCTCCCCTCGACCTGACCCAACCTACCCCATCACTCGCATCCGCTTCCCCGTCCCACGTCCCCACCATCCACCAAACCCCGTCACCTTCCCCATTCCCCCGCCCCCATACCCACCAAACACCATCCCCTTCCCTGCCTCCTTCCAACACCCCGCCTCCTCCATCCCCACTCCCTCCTCTCCCACCCTCACCTTGTCCTCCCTCATCCACATCTACCCCCTTCCCTGAAGACGTTGCCAGCAGTGTGTACCATTGAAAGATGCCCTGCAGAAATTCACCGGTGCTAGGTCCAAATCCTGGAACTCCCTCCCTAACAGCACTGTGGCTGATCCTACACCCCAAGGGCTGCAGTAGTTTGAGAACACACTACCACCTTTCTTGGTAAATACATGCTGCTCAATCCAGCAAAGCCCACATTTATTTGGAAGAGTTTACAAAAAACACAAATCACTGCAGCAGGGAATAGATGAAGTGAATGGCGTAGATACTTTGAAAGGGAAGCTGGATAAACACATATTGGAGAAATGAACAGAAGGATAGAGTGACTGGGTTAGATGAAGGAGAGTTGGAAAAGTTTTGTAAAGAGCAGAAATACCAGCAGGGACATGTTGGAGGAATTGCCTGCTTCCATGCTGGAAATTAGGTGTAATTCCCAACTAGGTCACTAATGTCTGTGAGGGAATAAAACACGCTTTCCTTAAAACTGCAAATACATTGGCCTAACATGTCACTCTGCCCCAAAAACCCCATCTCCACAATCCTTACTGAACAGTGCAGACACATGGGGGCAGAAAGGCATCTGGCAGTGTCACTTTGATTAGCTGGTTTTCACGATGCGTATTGTTCACCAGCTTGTTAGCAAAAAGGATGTCGTAATCAACACAACTGACCAGGAACGTGGTGAAAGTGACGACGAAAACAAACTGCCTGCAGAAATCAAGATGGAGAGACAGAGATTACTATCAACCAGGAATCAAGCTGGGACAACATGGGTTAAATAAAGATGAAAGTTCCCTCTACACTTTTAAATTGAAAGTATTAAGTTCTATCAACACTGTCCCCATAAAACACTCCTAGGGCAGAGACAGCAAGGGGTTAGATACAGAGTACAGCTCCCTCTGTTCTTTTCCACTGAAAGCAAAGTTCCGTTGACACTGACTCCATCAAACACTCCCAAGACAGATACATAGGGTTAGATAAAGTAAAATTCTCTCTACTCTTCTACACAAAGTAAAGGCCTCCTCAATACTGTCCCCTTTAAACACCTTCAGGACAGTGTCAACAAGGGCCAGATACAGTGCAAAGCTCCCTCCACTGTCCCCATCAAACACTTCCAAGACAGAGTCAGCACAAAGTTAGCTGCAGAGTACAGCTTTCTCTACACTGTCTCACTCCAAGACAGGAACAACATGAAGTTAGATACAGATCCCTCTGCGCTGGGTTTGATCCTACCAGAATGTAGTTAATACCAAAGAATACATACACCAATTCGAACATTTCCGACAGCAGCATACAGAGGAAGCCATTCTTCTGGTGTAAGTGATAGACGTGTTAAGCAGTTAAGGAAAGATGAGGAACTTCAAATTCCAAACAGCAGCAGGAGCACACACCCCACCACAGCCTTGGGCAGCCCAATTTACACATAGGAAATGTAACAGCAACATTAATCAGTGTCACACACTGAACATTTCAACTACTGTCAACCAAGTTGACTCGATGGGCTGGAAGGCCTTTTCTGCACTCTATGACACTGACTCCACGCTGCACACACTATTGCCCCAGGGAGAGCAGACTAAGACACACAAGTCAGTGTTCGGATATCGCCCTGAAAGGGTGGGGAGAACTGAGAGACACCAGTCACTGTACAGTTATCTCCCTGACAGAGGGAGA